ACATACATACATACATACATACATACATACATACATACATACATACACACACCCATCCATCCATCCAGCCATACCATACCGTACCGTACCATACCGTACCATACCATACCATACCAACATACATAACATACATACATACATACATGCATGCATACATACATACATACATACATACATGGCTCAAGCCGCAAGCGCTCAAGCGGGCAGCCCCAAAGCCCCGCTAGTGCGGCGCTCCCAGGCGCTACAGTCGCAGGGAGCTCATCGACAAGGTTGGCCCAGGGACATCCTGACATACAAGTCCCTTGCTTTCAAGCTCCTCTTTGGCACCTGGCACGGATGGCTATCTCAGTGACCACCAACACTCTATGGAACCTCTCTCAATCGAGAGCCTTCCACTACAGGTTTGCAGAAATCCAGGCAGGAGGCTACCTGCAAGACCACATCGAGCAACCCATCCTAGTCCCATATCCTGATGACTGGCCTGACAACACCAATCTTCAAGACCTGTTCAATGGCTGGGCTAACACGGGACTTGGGCAATACCTGATGGATGGCAAACCAGTGTTGGTCAGCCACATCACCAGGAATACCTGGGTGGAAGGCATTCCCACCAAGCACACCAAGATCCTGAACACGTACGGCACCTTCACAGTGCCGGACGGTTTTGCGCGTACATCCTCAGAGTTTGTACCAGCGGCATTAATCTGCCACAGAGGACCCAGCCACACTACCGGGCACTATTTCGCAATCCTCATCTACCGCGACCTGATGTGGCTTGCAGATGATGGCAAACCGCCAGTTCACCTCGACCGCCTGACACCACAGTTGGCCAGTCAGGTCACGCAGATTTGGGCGGTGCGCATTGACACCTTCAGAACCACCCAGCAGATCATCCGGTCTTTGCCACCTCCGGAAGAACCAGATTTCGATCCTCCTCTCCATCCAAGTCCGGAGAAGAAGCCCAGACTGGAACAGCAGCACAACCAGCTCCATTTTGCAAACGTCATCAACTTTGGCAAGCAGGTGCTTGACTGGTACTGGTCAAGACAAAGTGAAGTGTACATCTTTGTCGAGACACACCTTGATCCACAACAGCGCCAACAAACCTGCCAATACTTCACAATACGTGGCAGGACAGCCTTCGGCGCACCAGCCATGCCCAACGAGGGCAACACAGGCACACACGCGGGCATCCTGGTGGTTGGGGACCCGTCAAGTGGTCTCACGCCTTTGGAATCCTTCACCATCCAAGGCTGTGGATATCAAGCGTTCCTTTGGCAAGCAACAGAATGCACCATCCTTGTAGCAGGAGTCTACCTACATGAAGACTGGGGAGAACCTCCAAAGTGACACCAATGCCACAATCTTGGCTCGCTTCCTGGCCCTGATCCAGGCTACCAATCACCCCTATATTGGTGATTGGCAAAACAGCCCAGGCAGTGTCACAAGCACGGTGTTACCTTCCAAAGTTCATTTTGAAGTACTAGCCCCAGATCACAGCATCCTCTCCGGCAATGTGATTGACTATGCCCTCATCCACAGCCTCCATCTCAACATCGAGGAGGCCACCAAGGAGTATCGACAACTCCAATACTCCCCGCCGCTACCCGCCACACCTGACATTGATTTCAGGCCATGGACGACATACCAATCCACTGCCCACGAACTTGAACTCTATGGCAATCCACCAAACAGTTCGGCGCAGAAGTGGGCAGATTGGATCTCATGCACGGAGCAATACCTCCTCCAAGAACACCCCTGGGCAGCCCAAGGCAGAGGAGCAAACCCCCATGCGGTCTTCAAACCACTGGCGCAAAACAAGACAGTTGCCACCTGGAAGAAAGGCAAACCAGCCTACTGGGAACAGCTCAAGGCTCGTTTCCAATTGGCTGTGAAGCAACCGCAGCAGCAGGCCAGAGGCCCCGCAAAAGGCTTCATGCAGGCACTCCAAGATGCGCCCAAACACTGGGTAGGACCGCCAACGCGGGGACAATTCCTTGACACCTACCATCATTGGCACAAGTATCGGGATAGCCATGCTGCAGAACTGGTCCAGCACACACTTGGACATCAGGTTCAGGAAGCCCAACAAGCTGCCAATGATGAAATGGCAAAGAATGGCTACAGCAAGGTCAAGCCAAAGGACTGAAAGGCCCCTTCCGAAGCCTCAGAAGCAGTGAACTTGCCTGGGAACGACCTTATCGCCACCTCCCAACGGATGAAAGAATGACCCAAAGACTACAGGATTGGGGACACCTATGGGCCATCAGACAAGATGACCAACCCCATGAGCGACCCAGCTTGCAGGAACAAGCCAAGCAACAAGCACAGCAGCTTGAGCCGCTTACCATTGGTCAACTGACCTGGGTACTCAAGCACCTGCCTGACAAAGCCTGTGGACCAGATGCTGTCACCGCGCAGCTACTCCGCACTGCGCCACCACTGGCAGTCAAGGCGCTTCTCCATCTCTTTCAAGAGATGGAGGCCCAGGCGCTATTGCCCACGCAACAACAAATGCATATGGTGGTGATGCTCCCCAAGAACAGCAGCAAAGAACGGCCAATTACTCTGACTTCAATGCTTTACAGGGTTTGGCGCCGCCTACGCAAACCGCTGTTAGATCAATGACAAAAAACAGGTCTTGCGCGTGGCCCTCGAACGACTTCTTCGTCAAGAAGTACATCGGGCCAATGGTCAGCGCGGGGTAACATGCCTCATGGACATGTCCACCTTCTACGGATCAACTTGACCAGGCTCCAAACCGAAGCTCTCCAACTGCAATACCCACCTTTGCTTCTGGAAATGGCCACGCAAGTCTACACTGGAACCAATGCAATAGTGGCCGAGCAAGAGATGACACCTTTCTTCAAGGTTCAAAATGGAGTACCCGCTGGCTGTCCGCAAGCACCATTGCTGGCCAAAGCTGTGTTAGCACCTGCCCTTCAACCATGGCAAGCAGCCCATCCGGCGATCTACCTGGGGAGTGGAAAGCCAAGGACTTGCCCCAAGGTACAGAACAGCCCTACGCCATGCCATGGCAAAGCACCTTGGACACCACACAGGTGGGCTGCTGGACATCACCTATGACATTCACAGCAAACGCTACATCGACCTGAAGAAACCAAATCCCCATCCACCACCTCGTCCAAGCGTGGCCCCCAGAGCAGCTCCCAGCCCTTGAGCAGGCCTGGCAGACAACATACCAGCAGGGAGAACCCTACACCTGCCGTCCCGTCATGGCTATCTCCGCAGCCAGTACAAGCCTCTTCTTCTGCACAGGCTCCACGCCAAGCAATACCCGTCGTACAGTGTCCGAGGCCCACTGGCAGCCACCATATAGTGTATCTACAGGAATGGGGATGGCAACCAGCCGAGCTCATGAGGTGGATCAGGCCTGAGTCCAAACTGCTCTTGGCCAATGAAATCACAATCCAGAGCCCATGGTGGAAGATTGAACAGGCTCTGACACACGAAGCGCAACAGCAGCGCATTTCTCGCTTGGCCAGCAAGCCGCAATATGAGGATCTCATCACTGGCCTTAACTGGCACACCTATCAACAGGTGAAGAAGACCCTGAAGCAGCAGCACAAGCATCACCTCGACACACGGGTGCAAGGGGCACTCCAATTCAGGGATGCACACCAGACCAAAAGCTGTCCTATATGCCATGTTCCTGCCACACCCAAGCACATCTTGTGGCTCTGTCGTTGGCACCGCACCCAACAACATGATCCAATGCCTCCAGAATGGATGGACAGACTCACATGCCAGGATGAAGAACCGCTCTGGGCTCATGGCTGGATCCCGTTGGAACCACAGGAAGCGCGTGCGCAACAACATCCATACCAGGGCCATGGATGTTGGGCAGGCCTTGAGGTCTTAGCACTCCAACAACAATGGGCCTTCACGCTAGATGCCACTCCCTCCTCCTATGACCTTCGAAGTCAAATGTGGATCTTTGGACTGTGCGCGCGCACCATGTCACTTGGACAACTGCGGCGACTCGGTGCCGGGCGTAGCACCTGGCGTCCAGACTAAGGTTCGTGCACTGTTAGCAGGACTTGTTGCCTTGGCCAAACACACTGAAGACCAGGTCAAAGTCATTGTCCAGCTTGCCACGGTCTGGGAAGCATGGCATCAGACCAAAAGCCGAGGCCCATTCCAAGACATCCTTGATGAGCTGACACCACAAGACTTCACCCGGGTCACAGTCTTGTACATCAGCAGAAACACCAGAACACCGGATGCTCCTGGAAACGAACCTCAACTTAGTCGCCGCCAACGAGATTCGGCCCTGGCAGCCTGGGAACGAGCCAAGACACTTCATGATGCCCGACAAGAGGAATGGCAAGAAACCCTGGATCAAGACCACAAGTTGATTTATCAGCATGCAGTGCAAAGGCTCAGCAAGATCTACGAAGACAGCACCCATAACATCCACCAAAAAGGCAAACGTACCAAGCAGCGCAAAAAAGACCAAGTCAACCAATGCCGCAAGGCCTGGGCAGACAACCATCACCGATGGGAACCTCATCGAAGCGGGTTTCAGTGCAACAGCGTGTGGAACAAGGATGCACCAAGGCTTGACCGCCGGTATACTAGAAGCCAGACTCCAGGAAGATTGCCCACAGCTAACGATTGAAGACCTCCGCAACCAGCCTGCCATGCAGACAGATCCCCTGCCCAAGAAACTCACCAGAGCCCAACAAATCAAGGAGATCTTGGCCAAGCAGCCTGACCAGCCAGAACCAGGCAAGCACCAGCTCACCGAAACCACAGGGTACCTGAAATGCACCAAGTGCGGAGTGAACATCCACAAAAGGGTGAATGAAGCAGCTTTCACGGAGTTCACCCAGAGCAACTGTGTGAACCAAGAATGTACCGCCCAGCATACAGGCCACCCCACACATGCACTATGGCAGATAGGTGAACGTGTGAAGTGCACCCAGTGTGGCACGCAATGGAATCTGGATGGCAATCAGCGACTTATAGCCACCCAGGCCCTTTACAAACCTTGTAAAGGTGCAGCCACCAGAGGCTCTCCGCCACTCAGTGAGTTCTTCAAAAAGAAGGACACTCCAGGGAGCACCAGCCAAGGGTGAACGGCGAGCCCCCAGGAGGTCGTCTCTGGCAGACCAGCACCAAAGCGGCTCCACTTCAACACAGAGCTAGATAACCATGAAGCTCTGAACCAGCAGCTTTCTGCGCTGGCCATGAACCCCAGCCACACAGCAGAAGAAGACACCGCTGCTGCAGACACCGCCGGCATAGAAGTTGACTACTTCTGAACGCTGCTGGCGAACTCTGGCAACCTACCCCTGGACAAGAACAACTGAACCGGCTGCTGACGACCGTGAGGCAACATGCCTAGACAGGTAAACCCGGCCAAATGGCCCACAAACTCAGCCACTTTAGGAAAAATACATACATACATACATACAGAACAGAACAGAACAGAACATCACATCACATCACATGACATGACATGACATGACATGACATAACATACATAATATCCATCCATCCATCCATCCATGTAGGGGGGGAAAGGAAAAGTCAGTTGGGATGAACATGGACGAAGACAAATTACATGAACAGCATAAGTATAAGGTATTGTCAATCGATAATCCAGCCCGACACTGGTCTAAGACTAAGTATGACCAACTTTAAGTATTCTAGGGCATTGGATCACTAACGCTGGACGGCTGAAGCGCTGATATTTTAAAAGAGAGTCCCATCCCTTGTGCACAAAGAGAGAGAGAGAGAGGGACTTCATTGGCTTTTGATTTCTTGTTTTCAGCCTCCCAGAAAGGTTGGGGGCTCTTCAGGTTCTTCAACACTCGGAACAAAAGATCCTAAGGCCTTGCCTTTTCAATGCTGCCGTAGTTGCTGAACTCATTGAAACCTTCCGCGTTTCCAAAGAGCGTCCGGGAGACCACGCCGAGCAGGTACAAAACCAAAAAGAGAAGCACCACAGCCCAAAAGAGCACACGAAGTCCGGTGAAAACACCCTGAATCATGAGCTTCAGCTCTGTAAAGATCTTGAACTTCAACAGCCGCACAATCCTGCACTGAATTAGAGAACTTGGGAGTTTCATGGTCAAGAAGCAACATGAGGATAGCTCAAGAGACCCTGCTGAGAATGGATTCTTCGACCACACCATTCCGAGATCCACAACTGTGGCTGGCGAGGAACCGTCCCAAGCGTGCCAACTTCAACATCTTCAATGAACTCATTGCTCCAGTGTCTGCACCCTCACCCCCAGCTGAAGTGGCGGAACTGATCTCCGTAATGCCAATATCCTTGGAAGATCTTGGAAGTAATCTTCTTTTTTGTTGTTTCACAAATGTCTTGCCCTTGTAGTGCCTTTTTTGTGTTTTTTGACATCAAGCAAGCGGCGACAATTGCTAGAGCCACACATAGTATATCAAACCAGCTCCAGTACCTCATATGTCAAAGGCGAGGACAAACGCAACATGTGAACAAATCCAAGGTGCCAGTCTGCACCGAAGAGATAGTCCTGACTCAAAGCCATGAGGGAAACGGGCCCGGGCTACACTTTCAATTCGCGTGACCGTTTCCAGCAGAATATTCTTGCTGTTTTGGATCTGGAAAGGGTTTATGTTTGTGTGGTGTCTTGATAATGTTTAGATGGTGTCTTGATACGTTTTGGTGGTGTATTGGTCATGTTTAGGATTGCTTAGGTTGCTTCTCGGTCATGCTTGGGTGGTGTTCCGGTTGTGTTTTGGTGGCATGTCGGTTCTGCTTTGGCGGTGGTTGGTGTCTCACTTATGTTGCGGTTGTCTCTTGGCCTGTCTTTGTGCGTGTATGAACTGTGCGCTTGCATGTCCATACGCGCGGTGCACATTGCGCGCTGGCGGTTAAACATCATATCGCGCGCGAATGTATACATTATACGTCGACATGTAATAGAGCTGCTTTGCTTGAGAAGAGCATCCTTTGTATTTCTTCTTCGGTGGCGCGTAAATGCATGTTCTGCCCACGTGGATTTTGGTTTTACAATATACAGTAAAACGATATTCGGACTATCTACGCGCTTGCGTCTCCAAACCTGTACCTTCCGTGGTGCCACCCAATACTTAAACTATGCTCCCTTCGATAACTGCATTCATTGCACCTGTCGTGCATAAATGGCGCATCCGTCCTTGAAACTTGAAAATACATTGTTTTTTTTTCCTTTGGTAGTTGTCATATGTTCATATTGATCTCCTATCAAACCCTTTGAAGCGTCTCATTCTTTGTCTGTGTGGAAATTGTGTGCGCCCATTTCTAAGCATGCTTGGTGCGACATTTTTTGGGTACACGTTTTCCGCTGGCACTTGAACTCTTGTGGTGAGTATGTTTCTTGGATCATAAATGTTGGCAATCGGCAAACACTCCTCAATTGCTTTGTGGTCCATGAAAATTACATTTTGTGATTGTAGTTCAATTTTGTTGGGTGGCAAAAGCTGTGTTTAGCATCGATCGCACCCCCTAGCAAATTAAACAAATTCAGACAAATTCCGTTGAAAAAGTCAATCTGTGTATCCCAAGAGTTGTCAGGTTTCTTTCCCTCATGACTCGCCACCTGCTAGGTCCACAGGTATTTAAAGCTAGCTATGGCGACACTGCATTGAGTCCTTTGCTCCGAAGACTCGCATCTTGACAATGATTTCCCCTATGAAGAAAACCGTGAAGCTAATCTCAAAGATCCGCCAAACCTCAGAGAAAAGAATGCGATCTTCCCACGAAAATGCCCCAAGCGAATTCATAGTGATGAAGAACATTGTCCCCGCCAAGGCGCAACATGTTCGGGTTCAAGGTCTGCAGATGCACCAGCAACTGCTGCCTCAGGTTGTGCAAAGTGCACACTTTCAAGAACATGTACAAATATTTACAGTACAAACTTGGAGTTTCTTGACGTCCTCAAGCCATGCCCCTCACCGTGGGAGGTCTTAGCAAACGTAAAAACATTATGACTGGAGAAGATTCCCAAGGAGGCACATATACAGTATATTTCCAGCAGTGGCCTTGATGCTAGGGTCCCAGCTTTTTCTTTGAATGTCCGCCATTTTTGTTTTAAACTGGTGGAGCTTGCACCGTCGACTTACGTCGATCTTGGCCATTGCAATACGATGTCTTTTCGTGCTGTGCAAACAAAGAACACCATGTACTTCTCTGCTTAAAACCACCTCATTTGGCCTGCCACTGCTGTCAAAAAAACGCACCAGTGTAGCAGCAAGCAACTGAGAACCTTGTGTCATCACGTAGCTCTTGATGAACGAATTCTTATCAGTCGCAACCCTCAATTAGCAATCTATACAATTTGCCAAGCTGCACTCCGCATGATGACACATGCCGGAATCACATCCAACATCCTAGGCAGTGAAACCAGAAAACGCCGACACAAGCACACACACACATGTGTGTGTGTGGTCACATTCACAACCGTGTCTCTTTGCTGGGAACCATATGAAGCTGCCAAGGAAGCGTTTCTGAAGCGTTTACCATACTTTGGTAAATTAGATCTACAGAATACTGTTCACCCTTTTTGACTTGCAAGCCCGAGGCTCAGCAAGAAGGTCGACGAATCTTCAGCTTCCTCTTCTTCAGCAGCCTGGACCTCAAGTGTTAAGTGGTTGTCAGGACGCATACGACGGTCAAAGCTTTATTCGGGAACTAAAAGGTGATCTTCGGACACTTTACGGTTGTCTTCGGAAACAAATCTTCAGAAACTCTACGGTTTTCTTCAGAAACTATTGTTCGGAAACCACGAAGAGTCGAAGAGCAACATCAAGCCTGCACGAACAAGTTTCTGCAGATCGTACAATAGGCATGTATATATATACTATAAACCGTAGCCGTCACAAGGTACGTCAATAGCCCACCCCCCCACCCATCCCCCACCCCCCACCCACCCAGTGCTCCTTCATGCAATTTGGTTACACTATTGTAAAAGTTCTGAATAATACTTTCTAAAGCATGCAAATAAGTTAAGTTTCTGAAGATCGCGAAATAACTTCTGAAGATCGCAAACTAATTTCTGAAGATCGCAAACTAGTTTCTGAAGATCACGCAATATATAGTGTCTGAAGATCGCGAAATAATTTCTGACGATCGCAAAATAGTTCCTGAAGATCGCCAAATAGTTTCTGAAGAGTAGTTGCGGAAGAGTACCAAATAGTTGCGGAAGAACAGTTTCAGAAGAATGGAGAGTTGCGGATTAGGACTTTGTTCGCATACGACATTGCAAAAACATGTGATATAAAAAAACAGCAAATTTGGTTATGATACTTCATCGCATTGCAAGTGGTTCTTGACAGTTTAACGCCAATTCATCTTCCCGCATCCCTTCAAAGGTCTTGGTGAAAGTGCTCGTTCGTAAATGGTCGTCGCATCCATTCCTTCTTGGCATGGCGTAATGGGTAGACCAAAATTGTGCTATGCGGTGAAAACAAACAACACATATTAACAACTAATGAACATTCAATATGACTAACATTAACTAACAAAGGGGACACAACATAATAAGAACTAATTAATCCAAGAACAATGAAGACAGAACATGAACAAACACAGTGTGAAACAGTGCGGTAATGGTCGATCCAGCAATGCTTTAAGCGGCCACGGTGGAACGTTGGCGTCTCGTATTCCTGGAGACCCTTGATGATCTCTTTGGCGATTCGCCATCTTCGTTCACTTCTCCTATCGAGTTTGCAAGCACCAAGTTACCACACAAACAGGATCAGGTGCTTCTCAGTTGTGTGTGACACATGCATGTACGCTCACTACGCTTGCAGGCACGGCACTTTGTCCGTTTGCCACGGCACTGTGTCATCCTACACTCAAGTCGAGGTGCCCTTGTTTACGCAACGGCGCGCGTACAAACACAAACATAGTCTTTCAAGCCCCTCCGTCGAAGATGATTCTAGTGCTACATTACTGTATTATATATATTCCACTGAGCTGCCCATCAACTTTACTAGGTTTACCAGCCTCATGAGGTACAAACAGTGTGCCAAAACCGACGGCTTTAGAGCCCCATGTTATTTTCAGGTGTTAGGCGCATATGAAGAATTGACACAAGCTAGAACTCTGCTTCATTTTGCAGTCCGGGCCCGTGCATTGTGTCGTGAGTTTGGTCTTTTAATAGTGTTGTGAGCTTGGTCTTTTAATAGTGTTTGAACATCCTCGAGCGCTCGGTCTTGGCTTGCAAAAACCTCGCAGCAAATTCTAACCCTGTTCCGGCAGCAAAATTCGTACATGGCGATCAGTGCCTGCTAGGCCTCATATCCAAGGCCACTGGCAAGCCAATCAAGAAACCCACAAGTTTTTTTCGGCAACAAACGGTCATTGTGATATGAACAGCTTGTTGGAAGTGATTCTGGTTGAGCCACCAAATTCCAGATCGCAAGATGAGATTTTCCACGCTTCCACTGCGTTGTGTGCAGGCCCTCGCCCACATGGACAAAAGTCTCCGTCCGACTTGGCAAACGACCAGCTGGAGTCGACCTGGCCGACTTCACATTCTGGCGATGTTCGGCGTATGGCACTCCGAAAGGCCCAGCTCTTTCGCAAGCATTGTGAGTTCAAGATTCGAATCACAAGTTGTGTATTTCTTGCGATGTGGAGACGTGCAGAAATGCCGATCAGTCACAGGCGTGAGCCCTCGAGTTCTGCTTGGCTCCCAAACTCAGTCTCACTCAGAAAATGCGATCCAGAAAGTTCTTACAGAAAGAGTGAGGCGTGTCAGCGAAGGAAACGCAGCCTCTTCTTTTGTAAACGTTCTTTTGTTTGAGATCTGAATGCTTTGCGGGCATTTGTAAAACAATTTGGGTTTGTGGTTTGGTCGACATTTTTGCATGGGTCAGCTCCGTCATCATGGAGGGCAAAAGGCGACCATCCAGAAGGTGGGGGTGCAAGACAGCTGTTGGATGGATGAGGACATGCTCGAGAAAATCGGCTAGAAGGACGTCTTTTGTTTCTGAAGAAAAAGCTGAACCTTTGTATCTCAGAGCGTGGCGAAAGTGGACAAGTCTTTGCAAATCTTTGGTGTTGGTTTGTTTTCCCACTCGGTTGGTGGTCGTTTGCCCAGTGTGACTTGGGGCGTGTTCATGTCAAGGTAAATGGTCACGTCAGGGCAAACGCCCACGCTAGCCTTGGCGCTTTACGCGCCCGAATTCTGCTGAGTACCATCCCACCGTGGCAAGCTATTCCCTCCTGCTTTGATACCAAACGCAAGCAAGTTCTGTTGGTTTGCCACCGCACCCTCCAAGCCCTGACGGGCTATCCCCTTGTGTTTGGACGCTAAATGGAAGCGAGTTCTGGCGACTTGCAATCCCACCCCCTAACGCAAGCGCATTCTGATGATTTGTTATCCCTCCCTTCAAGCCCCGACAGGCTATTCCATTGCGTTTTGATGCTAAGCGCGAGCAAGTTCTGACGGTCCACAGTATTTGCTTAACATGTGTTGTTGGCAGAAGTATTTATTTGTTGAACATGTTTATGAACGATTGGCTTTTGTAAAGGAAAAGTCCGAACACAGAACTGGGAACAGACCTATTGGTTGTATGCACCCTGTCCCCTGTAACAGCAACAAAAAGGTTGCGTTACATTTTCACACTTTGTGATGCATCACCAGATCTGTGCATTTTTGCATTTCACTTTTCGCAATCCCGACTTAGGATGTTGCACTTGAGCTTCGGTTGCTGTGATTTCTGGTCATGAGGTCAGAAAGTGCCTGCCAACACGTTGAGACACCAGAAACAAACTATCTAAGTTGCCTAAAACCTGGTGACCAGTTTGGAAGCTCTAGCCACCATCTGAACCATGTTCCATTTCTTGATAAGCCTGCAAATCTCCAATCCAAGATTTTGGAATCGATTCTGACCATGCCTTTCAACTACATATCACTGTTGATCCTTTTGAGTACTACAGTGAAGTTTTAAGAGTAAAATAAGAAGAGATCTCAAAACCTTAAATTTGAAAGCGGCCATAATAGCAGTTGAAGCAGGCCAGGCTAATACCTCATTTCCTAGATCTCAAATGACAGCGACCAAGCGGGCCGTCCAGGCAGTTCCTGAGATCTCAAAACCCTAAGCCTGACAGCGATCGCCAGGGCAGTCCGGGAAGGCCAGGCTAAGCCTTGAGTTCCTGAGTTTCACAGTCTCCGGTCCCTTCAAACAGTGAGCTGTGCTTTTTAAGCTTTTCTCGCGCTATTTCTGGTGTTGTTTCTCGTGCTTGGTATGAAAGGGTTCAATAGCAACAGCGGTTTCTCGCGCTAAATCGCATGCCTTTTTGGCCGTTTTCTCGTGCTATATCTTGTGCTTGTTTGGGCCGTTTTCTCATGTTATATCTCGTGCCTTTTTTGTCGTTTCTCCTGCTTTTTCGCCACATTTCTCGTGCTATATGTGGTGCTTTGTTGATCGTTCTCTTGCGCCATATCTCGTGTTTTCTGGCCGGTTTCTCGTGCTTTGGTTCGTCCCCTGGGACCAATTTGGCGTGCTTCATTCTTCCGTTTTGCCACAGTTGTGCCACAAAAACCACAAAAACAACAGCAAACACATCTTTTTTAATTTAGAACTGATTTCTGGATCCTTTCTGAGATGATGCTACAGGGTACTACAGGGATGAACCTTTTTACAACCTTTTCTACTTGGAGTTACACCAAGCCTCACCATCAAGTAAGAACATCGCGTTTGATAGTCATGTGAGCCCCGCATGCTGGCCAATACGAGCGCAGATTTGCTCGCTTTATCTCACGCCTTTTCTGGCGGTGTTTCTTGTGGTCACCATTAAAGCCTCAGGGCGACATACGGTACAACCTATTGGCAGCAGAAGCTCTCCTACCCAAGCCGCCCAGAATGAAGCGAACCGCGGAGGTATCCAGCAGAAACATGCCGGAAGAACCTTCTGAAGAGCCTCCGGACAAACGACAACGATGGGCATTAGTTGAAATGCTTTGCGGTGTGTCACTGTGGCCTGCAAAGCGGCCGCCCAGCGGAAAAGAAGTTGTTTACTGAGAAAACCTGAGAAAGGTTTTCCTGGCCAGGAGTTGGAATCAAATGCGTATAAGTTGTTGGACATACAAGCTTCAGAGAATAAGGTCTTTGCTGAACTTGATGAAATAACGACATGACGTCACGTCTTGAACACAAAGCCTCGCGATGAGACTGATATCCCAAAAGCCAAAATGGAAGACGGTCTTTTTGGCGACCCGGAGCGTGGGCCTATGAAGGCAAAGTGCCCTCAGTGAATTGGGCGCCCTACTTACCCGCGCTTAATGTCAACAAAGGCTTTATGTCCGGCAGCCCTGGGAAAGGATTCGTGGCACAGATCCGCAACAGTTGATCATCATGTTGCTCCAGCATTGCAATGGCTGAACTGACGCACCATACAACTGAGCATGTGAGCGAGTATCTTCTGTTGCAGGCCTGCATTTGATCCAGATCAGACCCGTGCTTATTTCCTATCTGGCTCTACCAACCAAGCTGACGCCACAGTGTATGGCGTTCTTGAGGTAGCAACCCATGACGTTGTCCTTCGTGGTAAAAACGGTAGGAAAATCATTGCAGAACAGCTGTCCAACGACTACTGGTTGGGAAAGAATCAAAAAGGCAGGTCGTTTTATTGAAAGGACATACTTCAGAACGCTGAGCTCCATCTATAAAAATTGGACCAAATACTTTGTGTAAAACCATTTCCACTGGAGAAGAAAATGGAACCAAGCTCAAGAAATTCAACAACTTCGCAGACTCCTGGGCACACTCTCCTGTCTATCTGAAGCGACCTTGTTGGATGGGTCGGACTTTTGCAACAAAGTTTTCCAAATCCAGGGGCCAAAGACATTGACAATGCAAACAGACTAGTGGCGAAGGCGTTTCAGTTTCCAACATATGTGCTTTTTTGGGCGCAACCAGCCAGTTTTTGTAGCTTCGCGTTGGTGTTGTCAGCTATACCTCCTGGGGCAATGCCAGGGAGTCCAATGAAGGACTTGAGGATACCACCAACATCACACGATGCCGAGGAAAAGTTCCTTTCACCCCAGTTTGTGCACCACGGCACAAGCTCTGATCTGCGAAGAAATGTTGGATCGCAATGATAGCAATTTCTCTTCAGGAGGGAAGCGGATGGCTGGAATGATCCCATGATCTCACAAGCATTCCAGGCGACGCAAACGCAACCCGTGGATTGGCAAGACAGTCTTTCAGAAGACAGTCCAAAAGAAGGGCAAAATTCATACAGCCTCAATTCGGAATTTGTTCGGCTGATCAACAAGATTGTTTAAGCGACCAGGGTTTGGCAACCTCTCGGCAGCTACCGACTATGACTCTATTGGCATGGAAAGCGGAAGGTCGTCAGCACCACTTTGGGGCCAAATTAGAAGCCTCAATTGGTGCGTTTTGTGTTGTTGGACCCTCATCAACTCCCAGGCAACTCAAGCAACCACAAAGAGGCATGAAGATGAATTATGCTTATTAAACTGTATTATCTAAATATTATTTGTATCTTTTTGCTGCACACGGTAGCACAACTGCTCTGATGGGCCTGGTTCATCGGGCACACAGGGCAGCTCCAACAAGTCAATCTTTTTCTTCTCCACGACAAACGCCGTTAAAGGCTGCAAGGGAGGAGTGCTGTCCTCTGAAGGGAGAGTTCCACCCTGCTGAATCTAACAATATCTCTTCTACATTTGATGGGAGAACTGCAGGAAGGTGCTTTTGAGAGTTCTAGGAAACTTGTCTGAATGACTGGCAACATTCAGAGTTGGTGGAGATTGGGGTACTCACCTTCTTTGAGCTCGTTTGTTGCAACGGTACCCACGAACACTGGCTCATCAAGGACGCACATTCTCCTCCTGCAGCAAGGTGTAGAGTGGTCCGTTTGGAGTGCTGGGGCCTCTTCGCAACGCTTCGTTCTCAGAGATAAGGCCTCAACACCGCAGCAATGCGTAATGGAGCTCATGGAGTGTTCCTTTGAACAATCCTTACAAAAAAGGCATGCCGAACAAATCCCAAACACGAGGTCACGAGGACCATTTGTTTGTGTTTATATAATATATGTATATATATATATTTGCAAATGCAGGCTGTAGAATTGCGTGTGACTATTCAACGATAATTGATTAATATTATATAATTTTATCATATATGGTCATGAGTGGTGCCCAACCATTTATATAGCCGTGAGTCGTTCATATTCCGCGCTGAGCGCCATCAAATGCCGGTGAAAGGCCGTGTCCCCGAACGCCATGACGCTGAACGCAGTGTGGCAATATGTGGCAATGATCACAAGCCCAAAGAGGTCTAAGTCTAAGAGGTATGCGCTGTGACTGTGTGGTGAACGTGGATACTGCGCTGCATGTCTATGTCTTTCCACGTCTTGTTGATTTTCGGCTGGCAGCTCTTTGTGGAAGAAAGTTGACCTGACACCAACAATGGGTACAAGGTCCTCCTTCGGACCAAAAAAACACATGATGGAACCAAGCATCCGATGATTCATCATCCTGTACATTCCCCATTTTGATCAACGTCTAGCAGAGCGAATCTGTGTGCGCAAGTGTTCGTTCAAAGGTATTCAAAGACCTCTTTTCAATCTCACTCCCCGATTCCATTGAATAGCGCCTTTTTCCCTGTAGGCTTGCGTGCGCGCTCCTTTCTCAAAACATCTCAAAACCATCTTCTATTGGAACAAGGACGCTACTAGGGGCTCCTGGCAAAGGGACGCTACGGCTTTCTGTCCCTCATGCTTCGCACAATGTCCAGCGCCTTGGGTGTTTGCATTCGATTCCTTCTCCACGTTCAGTTCAGCGTCTCAGCTGCTCTGCCTTGACAAAGGGTTCCGGATCCTCAAAGAGGTGTGGAATCGAATCGGTTGAGCGACTATGTGCTTACAAACAACTCCAAGCCACACGCCATGCATGCCAGAAGCCTTCAAGGGGGGTCTGTGAGAAGCTTGCAAACATGGTTCAGTTCGATTTGGTACAGTATGACTTCAGGTATCTAAGTATCTGTCATTTGGAGATGGCCAACAATTCGTAAAACTTACATGAAGTGCAGGGAATGAACCCGCAGCTTCCGAACATCCAAGCCCACCGGCCAAATACGTTTGACAAAACCTCGTATGCTTTATATGTGCTCTTTATGCAAAGCTTCAGTCGTGCCAAAAGCACTAGCATGGGCAAAATGCTTCGGGAAGATGAGGTAGGTCGAAGTTTGACAAGTTGATCTGGTAGATCTGTCCTGCTTGGATGAGCAGTTTCATTTCATGGGACACGTGAAATCAAAAGTCAAGCTCACAAAGGAGGTGCAAAAGCTTGATCAGAATGCTCAAGCTCCTGCAATGCCCAGTGCGATGCCCTTAAAGCGGAGGTTGAGACCAATACTTCCGAATTAAACAACGACTGAATAGATCTTACCCTCACTTAGACTTGATTGAAAAGCCCACGGTGCAAACTATTTTGGTCCTTTGGTCGTTCGGTCCTTCAGTTCAAGTACGAGTGAGGGTAGCCGTCGTCGTCTGGGAAGTGACCTAGTCAACTTTAGGCCATCAAGTTTGGAAGTGCCTCACTGAACCTTTTGCAGAATTAATTACACGTCTAAGTTGAGGAAAAAGAAGAAGGCAAGGGCTTTGAAGAAGGCGTCTTTGACAGGGATCTTCCTTTTTGGCAAATCTTCTTTGACTGACTGGGATTCCTCCAACCTCTCTACCACCTCCATCATCCCACCTTTGTCCACAGCATTGTCTCACTGATTTCTAGATCATCCAAGTTCCAAATTCAAATTCTCAGCATTGTTGTCTTCGGAGGCATCTATTACAGCAAGTGGAGGCAGTTTGTCAGCACAACAAAAACATAGACATATAGTCGCCCTTTGGAGTGTGCCCTGATTCTTTTATGAACACGCTCCACTTCAACTAGCGCGTTGATCATCGATCCAAATGTCCAAGTGGCAAGGTTCCTTGCTATCCCCAGACCGTCGGCATGCTGGACAGCTCGCTTCAAACTTGGGTAACTCGGCCACCTCTTCCAAGCGCGTGTAGTAGCGGCAGCTGGGTTTGTGCCACCTTGGAGATCTTCAAAATTCTTTTTTGCAGCTGTTCGCAGGCACTCTGCAAATAGAGGCAACTCCAGACTGACGTTTTATGGTCCCCGACAAGTTCGCCTACTCTCAAATCGTTGCAGTTAAGAGCATCTTTACCAAGACACTTATTTATATAAATCACGCTATGACTATGTCATCAAGGAGCCTGTTGTCGTGCGCGAGGGGGATGCGACGATCAATGCCACAATCCCAGCAGAATTGGTGCCCACATTCACAAGTGACATGGTCACACTCCTCCCATACAAGAGTAGCCATTCGATTGCGTTTGGGGAACACTTCCGAGCCTGCCCCAAAACGCTGAGAGATGGGCTTTCTCTTGAATTTGGACTTACACATCTTACACCGAGTCCAAAAGCCTGACAAAGCGCCTTACAATGACTTATACATACGGTACGTTGCATTCCCTACACTTGTGTCTAGTGGACTCAATTACACGAAAGATAGACCACCCATGTAATGAAAGCTCCTCTTGTGCCTTGTACCCACCGCCATAGCGACACTTTCGTGGACAAGGCTTCCAACCTTCAACCGGCCAAGCAGATTGTTGTGCAGAGTTTGTTGCGCAGAGTGGCTCAAACAGTTTCCAGTTTCGAAACCCTTCAAACAGTTTCATTAAGGGGCAGTGTAGCATAGTGCAGTTTGCTTCTTATGTCGTAAATCTTCTTCATGTTCGCTTGACTTTTGCTCTTATTTTTCAGTGAACTGCACTTCTAGGTCCCTTTCAGACTCTTCATGCTCAAATCGTGGATGAACACCAAACAATATCGCTCGTTAAACCATGTCTAGGAGCCCATTGAAAGCACTTGAGACCAGACTTCGCACTTTTCCTCAGTTGCAAACAGGTTTTCCGGAGAGACCGGAGAGTGGCACAGGTAGAGGGAAGGAAGGTTCTTGCAATTGAGTCCCACAGCATGGAGCTGCTTGATTGACATCCAAGGGCCAACATGTGAGTGTCATGTTTCTTCCTTTATCCGCGAATTCGAGTGTCTTGCTCCAGTTGGCTGCGCCGCGCAGCACAGCTCAAAGAGGGGTGGGGCCCATTGTCGCACTTCGCACAGAAGCGATGGCCCTTGGGGCAAGCCAAATCGGCGTAGTCGTCCCCCTCATCACAGAAAACACGTTCCTGCCGGTGGAAGAGGGGCATGAAATGGTGAGGGGTGCGCACTCGGCCTGCATTTGCTGCAACAAAGAGAAGGGCCTTAATGCTTCCAAACATCCAATTTTATCAATTTTTCAATACAGGTCCCAACTCAGTCATGCATTTGATGCCTTTTTCTCAAAGTGTCCAAGCCCTTTCCCACGTCCCTTCAAACCCCACTCCAAGTCCCAAACCCAGACTCCCAAAGCAGAGCTCTGGCAATGTACACATACAACCTTCGAGCTACAATTGTTGACACCCCAATGCCAAGAGATACGGAAAGACTTTGACAAGCTTCGCCATTCATTCCCCTTTTTTGAGCAACGGTTGTGAGGTCACCCCTATTCGAACGGAGAGGCCATGATTGGTTTAGGGCCGCAGTCTCTGCTCCTCACAACCAAGAGCTCGGCAGTCTACAATGTGTGGATCATCACGAGTCAGGAATTCCAGCAGTTTGTAGTAGGATTCTTCTGGCAAGCATTGCCTCAGCATACTTCTGTCATGTCAGGCCGAACTCGCCATCAAAGGCCAACCAAAGTTGCAATGCTTTGCAAGATCTTCCTTGAGACTTTCAAAAAACATCATTGAAGATCCGTCACCAAGATGCTGGAAGATATGAATCGAGTCTTCTGAGCGCAAATTGTAGCCACAACCCTCTGCAGGGCATGTAAGCTTGCCTCAGCATGTGTCAATGTTCTGGCAATGGCACAAGGCCAGCACAGATCACCATTTCATCTGTCATCTAGTCTAGGTGTGAGTAAGTCATTTTGCAGGCCAAACAACCAGCTGAAACATTGAATGGTAATGTCGAGCGCACACATATATCCAGCCGGGCACACTCAGTGGGGTTGAGCCCCTGGTACCCAACCCCATTTTAGCCACAGATCACTCATGAAATGGGGCCTCCAACATCAAATGCAAATAGACTGATAGACTGACCCAACATAACGAGACTCTAGAAGGTCCTCTATCTAAGACCCAAACTTGTCGGGAAATTGCCGCCCCACCCCAAAGTCGGCCCACCACACATTATTTCTTGTTTGGAATTGTGTGTTGGAATTCAACAGGGACAAGGGTTTGCGATGCAGCATCTAAACAAAATACATCCTTGCGGCAAGGGCTGGAACAAGTGACAGGGAGCACGGGCTAAAATGGCAAAAGGCCAACTTGCAAACAGGTAGACAGCAGCAAAGGTCAGCGCGCCAGAAAGTAATCTTTTTCAGCGAACGTGGCACAGGGCAACCTTCCAAGCAAAACTAAAGCTGAGGACTTACAGACTTACCTTTTGGAATAGGCAAAGACCTGGGAAATGCCACAGTGCCTGCAGCAATACCATTCAATCAAAGTCAAATGCAGGACATCGATCGCAATCATGTTGAGCACTGAGAGAGGTGAAGCAGAACCTTGTTTGGCAAACCAAGTTCTTCCTCTTTCCAGCGCCCTTCCGCCAGAGCTGTTGCAAAAATAGACACCAAACAATTAACAAGCAGGGGTCCAACATCACAATCCAAAACCCAACCCATGTTAGCCACAACCATTAGCCAGCCGGCCAGCCGGTTTTCCCTGAACTACGGGGCCATGTTTCACCCTATTCTAGCCAGGCTGGGCCAAACGGCTCTCACACATATATATATATATATATGTATATATATATATATTTGATTATATTTGATTATACGTCAACGTGGAGTACAATGTACAAACATTGGACAGCTTGAGAATGAGGCTTCGGGCATGGCACTGAGACGTCTCTCCCGTACGATCAGATCGAAGTGATACCTCGGCGGTCATGGCAAAGGAGGATTGCTGTGGATCGTGAAAGGACGTGAGCATTATTGACCCTCGGGAAACCCAAAATAAAGAACACCCCGAAGATGAAGGGAATCGATGCTTTATGAAGTCGTTGGTGCCACTTGAATGAGTGTAGGCTAGTGCAGGCCAAACCCCTAACCCTGGGCAAACCACCGTTGGTGCAATATCAAGTAAGTGACCTGCTGCTGCAATGTCAAGCTACTGGAGGCTTTCAAAGCAGAAACGGTGCTGGCACGGCAGTGTGCA